ATCATATTGATAAACTGCTATGTTAAATGGGAATTCCTTTGATGATTGAAGATAATAATAAAAAAAAGATAAATACAGCTAGGCACTGGTGGCCCATGCCAGTAATCCTAGAGACTCAGAAGGCTGAGATCTGAGGATCATGGTTCAAAGCCAGGAAAGGAAGTCTGTGAGACTCTCATCTTTAATTAACCACCAAAGTGGAGTTGTGGTAGAAGCGGTAGAGAGCTAGCCCTGAGGGGGTGGGGAAAGGTAGGCAGTGTAGCTGTGTCTCTAAATGGTAGAGTGCTAGCCATGAGGGAAAAAGCTCAGGGATAGAACACAGGACCTGAGTTCAAGCCACAACTGACCACCTCCCACCCCCAAAAAAAACAAAAAAACCCACAAAATAACAACAACCAAAACCTAAAGATTTTGCCAGTGGCTCACACCTGTAACCCAATCTACTTGGGAGGTTGAGATCTAAGGATTGCAGTTCTAAGACAGCCCAGGCTGAAAAATCCCTATGATACTCTTATCTCCAATTAACCACCAAAAAACAAAAACAAAAAAAAAAAACAGAAGTGGCTGTGGCTCAAAGTGGTAGAATGCTAGCCTTGAGCAAAAGAGCTCAGGGACAGCACCCAGGCCCTAGGTTCAAACCCCAGATCTGGTACAGAAAAAAATAGGATAAATATGCTGTAAAATTTTCCTTGGAAGTGGTGCTGTGGCTCAAACACTAGCCTTGAGCACAGAGAGGCTAAGGGACTAAGCACAGAGAGGGTCAGGGACAGTGCCCAGGCTCTGAGTTCAAGCACTAGGACTGGCAAATAAAAAAAAAAAAATTCCTCAACTCAATAGCTAACTAGGAAAGCTATTTTAGAAATCTCCTATGAAAATATAGCCCCAGCCGGGCTCTGGTGGCTCAAGCCTGTAATCCTAGCTACTCAGGAGGCTGAGATCTGAGGATCGTGGTTCAAAGCCAGCCCGGGCAGGAGAGACCGTGAGACTCCTATCTTCCATAAACCACCAGAAAACCGGAAGTGGCGCTGTAGCTCAAGTGGTAGAGCGCTCGCCTTGAGCTGAAGAGCTGAGGGACAGCGCCCAGGCCCAGAGTTCAAGCCCCACGACCGACAAAAAAAAAAAAAAAAAAAAGAAAATATAGCCCCATCTATACTATCTGTTTATTCAGACAAGTTTGCATTAAAAAAATAATACGGTACTTTCTGTGGGCTTGGTGACTAAGCACCAGGATTGATCCTTACTCAAGATCAAGACCAGGTCATCCCTCAATCATCCGCACAAATGGGGGAGAGATCAATGGCACTGATGTTGCTAAATAATGGGTTTGTTTTTATACTAAAGTATGAGGGATTTTAAAATGAGCAGTTTGAGGTCTCTGCTTCAGAATGCTCCTGGACTGGTTTGGGGGTGAGGTAAACAAGTCAGTAAGTGCTAAGTAACCACCATTAGGATGTAATGGGCACACAAGAAGCAAGGCAACACCAAGAGTGATCAAGAGGTGAGCCAGAGGATGAAAGATGAGGAGCTAAACTGCCAGAAAGCACTGTAAAACTGACAGGAATCATTACCCCATTTATCAGATAGTAAACACAAATTAGAATAGTCAAATTGGTGGTATCCATGTAGATTCTTTAGGTCCACTGGCATAACCAAAACACTATAGGAATCCTAGTACTTTCAGTTGGTCTATATTAATTCTGAACCAAGTATAGTCACAGAAAAACACCGTATTAATATTTAACAATTGAAGTGCTCTGTATTAATACTTGGCACGTATATGGACTCTCGTATCCAAGAATCTATGAGCTGTTGACCTACATTAGCTCACTCTCCAAATAGACTCCTGAGAAGAGTAATTTTAAAGTTAATACACATCCATAAGGTAATAAGTTACCATAAGGAAGGGAAAAGTTAATCTCTGGGTAAGGCTATACATGGGAATGATATCCTCTTTTCAGCTTCACCCACGAAAATCTATATGGTATAGAAATCTACTGCTGTACCACTTAGTTACACACCCAGCCTGGCAGCTGTTTATCTCTGACCCACTAAATAACCACAATAATCAAAAGATTTTTACCTAAGACAAGCTCAAATCCTCAAGTACAAGCCAAATATTCCAAGAATGAAGACTGTTACATAGTTTTTGAAAAGACTGAAAAAGAAAAGCCTAGAAAGGAAGACTCACACATGAGACTATGTGAGTCAAAACATCCAATCTCATATATGGAGAGAGAAGAAATCAAAGATCCAAATGTTCTGTTTCCTCAAATGGGTAGAGTGCTCTAACTTTGCTTGAATTGAAAACAGGTTCTTTATGTCAATCAATTCTTCCTTGGAATAGTTTATATAAGAAATTACAAAGCAAGACATTCAGGAAGTTAATAGTCGAAGGAGTAATGTGCCCACCCTGATCTGTTAAATCACATTATGGGAGGATAGGTTTTTATCTTCGGATTTGGTAATTTTGGTTTTAATTAAAAGGAGGAACTGGGTTTGAAACAGCCTAAAGGGAGACATAAGAATAGTTTTCAAGACTCTATAGAGGCCTTCCTGGAGCCATTGGACATAACTCTAAGGAAAGAAAGTACAGCAAAAGAAAAAAAAAAGGGAGGAAATAGTAGAGCATGGATGATTGAGACCTTTGAAGACTGGGATTCTGTGCAATGTAATCCAGAAGTCTTGTCAGTCATGTGGTGGGAAAGGAAATTTGGGGATGCCACTGACACTCAGGACATCGTTACTGATGGAATCTTGACTCCAACATTACCACTCTTTTTTTTCTCCATCAACAAAGCTCCTGTTGAGTTGCTTTTACATAGTAGGAACTTCATTGATACGTCCAGTTGTGTTTTCCTAACTTAGGCAATGAAAGTGTGTTTCATATGAGGATATCTCCAAAATCTACAAAGAAAATCCACTTGGGCTGGGAAGGTGGCTCAGTGTTAGAGCGCTTGCCTTGCATGCATGAGGCCCTGGGTTTGATTCCTCAGCACCACATAAGCAAAAAAAAAAAAAAAAGCCGGAAGTGGAGCTATGGCTCAAGTGGTAGAGTGCTAGCCTTGAGGTGAAGAGCACACAGGCCCAGAGTTCAGGCCCCACGACCGGACCCAAAAAATAAGAAAGAAAATCCACTTAATGCAATATAGTGATTGTACGAAAATCAATAGCAACACACCAACAATGACACCATTCTCTAAGACCTGAACTTCGTTCTAGTATGTTTAAAGGTTTCTGGCATCAGAGGGAAAGTCAAACTGGAGCCTCAGTCTCCCAGGACCTAGTGCAAGGACCCAAGCACACAGTGTCCTGGCAAAGTCCCGTTTTCTGCAGCTAGATGGGGAGATGGTGGTAGCTAGCATTTGTAAGATCAAATACAATGAAGAATGCATGCGCACCCCAGCTCGATTCTCTCAGAGGCTTGCTTCTTCAGCCTGCTGAGACAACAGAAAACTTTCTGTGATCCTCAAGGAATAACAATATCATTTCTAGGCATTGTGCTAGGCACAGCAGAGTTGAAGGCTGTGCTTTTTGATCTCAAGGATTATTCTTTATTCTCATGCCAGGTGAGGAAGACAAGGAAGATATGAGTTACAATCTGCCCATTACCACACCGCCCAACCTCTGCTCCCTCGTGGACATTCCTGCCTCAATTCATGTACAAGTGAAATCAGTCCCAAATTTTCAATCCTACCAAATACCAGCTGAAGAAGTGCTTTCCCCTAGGATGTGCCAGAAACAAGACTCAAGCCAGTCTATTCTCTGTCAATAGCCAATGTGTAGCTTATTGATCTTCTACATTAGTACCCCCTTCTCTTTTATGAGAAGAAAGTGATCAATGGAAACTATGCTAATCGATGTGTTGGTTTTTAGAAAAGCATGCTTTATTTAAACAAGGTCTTTGGATAACTGTCATATGCCATTTCTAGTCCTCTTCTTTTAAATATTCTGATTAGAATCTGATCATATTTGCCATTCTCGGGCCTTGATAATGCTGACAGTTCCTGTTTCAACCAGAATTTTTTTGATCATGAAGGCCCTTTCTTAGTGCTAGGCACTTCAAGGAATAACCTGAGAGAGACCAAGACCCAGAAGTTAACAAAGTGCTCAACGTAAGTCTGAATTTTCCGCAAGACATTGCTGTGAAGGGCCCTTTACTTGTAAATTTTTACCAATCTGTAAGTAGCATTGTGTCTTATTTTGTTTTAGTTGAGATGCCCAGAATGGTCTCAAACTCCTGAGCTTAAGCAAACCTCTCACTTCAGCCTCCCAAGTAGCTAGGACTACAGGTAGCTGCCACTGTACCTGGCTTTTTACAGAGGAAGACATTTTAAGGTAAGTCCCAAGAGATATCCTCAGGCAAGACAGAAAATGTGATAGGCGGCTGGCTATTTCTGATTTGGTAACCCTGGGTTTTCCCTAATCAACAGAAATAAGCTTAGGGAAGCCAAGAACAACAGCCAAAGCACTAACCCAAAGCTCGGAGCAGCTGCATCTGGGACCAGGCTTCCTACAGCATTCTTAAACACCTTGCAGCATATGGTTTCTTTATTGACGTTGATTAAGTAGAGTGTGTTAAGACAGAGCAAACTGTTAAGATTCAGAGATTAACATCTGGCAAATATTATTTTGGAAAGACAACCAAGAAACCTTTTAATTTTCAATTCTCACATAGCCTCACCCCAGTCTCAAACCTGTCTTTCACTTTTCCTGACCTTTCTTCAGTTTTATCATGTCCAGGGAATAAAGTTCATCGCCCTAAATCTTGTATCTTGAACCACTGACAAACGAGAAACTATGTAATACTAACAAAGGAATTAAATGCATCCTTTGTCAGCGTGGCACATAAATCTGAATGAAGTCATCAAACACCATTCATTCTAGTATATTCCCTTTTCAATAATCATGGAGGAAATAAATATAACATCGCTTAATTTATGACATTAATTTGTATCAATTCCTGTGAGCTAGAAAGCATATAGATCAAGAAGAACACTTACTTTTGCTCCACAAAGTAAGGATCAAAGAATTCTGTCGTGATTTTGTTTGCATATAGGGAACAGCCAGTCATTGAGCACAAGCCTGAAAAGTACCAGAGATAGAGAGACAGAGAGAGAGAGACAGACAGAGAGAGACAGAGAGAAGGTGCCATGGTTAGCATCATTGCATTAACAGCGCAAAGTACTCTGTTCAGAAGAAAGTCTCTATTTACCTGACAGAATGAATACAATCCCAGCCAAACAAGCAATCTTAGCTTTGGCTTTCTCTGAGCCTCCAACTTTGGTACATTTCATTCCAAAGAGTGCAAATATGGCGCCAAAGAAGCCCAGGCTGACAGCAGCAATCATAAGTCCTCTGCATGCCTGAATATAACCTGCAATCAGAAAAAAAGATCAGTTTTCAACATGTGGTTGTCCAGAAAGAAATACTCAATCTATCCTACCAATCCTCATGACTGTTCAGTTATCTGAAAGAGAACGGTTATACCGGCAAAGCAAAGACAAACAAGAAAGGAAAGTGGGCTCCCCCATAGAGGATGGCCACTCTGTATTACACAATGGAAGCTTGGCATATGCATGATCCTGAATGCTAGATTCCTGAGACATTACTCACCGATGAGGAAACTGAGGCATGTAAAGGTTCCATGCTTTGTCAGACGTGAGTTAGTAAATAGCAGAATGTATTTTCCCCCAGTGCAGACTATAAAATCAACAAACCACTGACTCTCAGGGTGAGGGCAGCAGACATTTTAATGGCTTTGACATTATAAAATTTATAATCTAGTATTAGTGAAAGAAAGCTCTTAAGCAAGACAAACTGAAAGGTCTTTGTGAACGATCAGGAATGTAAACCAGAAAGTATACTAGTGACATTGTATTATTATTAAGCTACATACAATAAAGTTGGACTTTAAAAAATATAGTTGCCAGATACTGGTGGCTCATACCTGTAAATCCTAGCTACTCAGGAGGCTGAAGTCTGAGAATTGTGGTTCAAAGCCAGCCTGGGTAGAAAAGTCCATAAGACTCATATCTCCAATTAATCACAGAAAAAGTCAAAGTGGAAATGTGGCTCAAGTGGTAGGGTGCTAGTCTTCAGCAAAAGAAGCTCAGGGACAGCATCCAGACCCCGTGTACAAGCCCCACAACTGGCAATAAATAAATAAACTAAAGCACTTAAAAATGTGCTGTTAGTGACTTGCCTATCCTTCCTGAGTTATTCCTTTTCTGAATTACATATTTTTATTCACATCATGGTAAATTTCAGTGTGGCTTTTATCCAGACCCTAACACATTTTAAATTAATAAGATTTAACCTAACCAACTATTACAGCACAAGTCATTCATTTCAATCTGAAATAGTGCCATATTTCCATCTGAAACGGTGAGAGCAGTACATCCTTGGTGTGAGTAAATATTTGTTAAGCAAATATTCACATGTGTTCATCAGGTTTACAGTGGGAAATTAAGCCTTCTAATTGAAATAAACTCTTTAAGTGCTAAGACATGATAATTACACAGTTAGGGACTAGAGACTGGTGATCTTCATCTCTACTTTTTTCCCTCTCTTAAAGAATGAATCTTTATGGCTAGGAATGTGGCTTGGTGGTAGAGTGCTTGCCTAGCATGCATGAAGCCTGGGTTCGATTTCTCAGTACCACATAAACAGAAAAAGCCCGAAGTGGCACTGTGGTTCAAGTGGTAGAGTGCTAAACCTTGAGCAAAAGAAGCTCAGGGGACAGTATCCAACCCTAAGTTTGAGCCCCAGGCCTAGGAAAAACAAAAAGAATGAAACTTTAAAATTTGAATTCAATTCCTAGGATCTGCTTTCAAGAGCCAACCGGAACTCCCCTGTTTAACTGTCAATTGCTTTAGTACTCCCCAAATCCAGGACAATGACCTCCATCTTATAATATGGATTACTTTCACACTGAAGATAATTTCACTGCTGTGAGACTAACCAGAAACAGCAAAAGAAACTTATTTTTTAGCAAACAGGATAATGAAGCCTCTTTCCATAGCAGTAATCAGGTTGCACAGTTTATCTGGTTCGTGGCTGTTTTAAGCTTCAACCCACAATTGTCCAGGTAGAGACCAAGAGCAGGCAGCGGCAAGACCAAGAGAGGAGTCATGTCAGCCCCTCACAAGATTAAGGAGTCTTTGAGGTTAACCATGAGTGGCTCATCATTCACCAGAAGAATTCCTATAGACACAGCCGTAGTTTCATTAACCACCATTTGTTTTAATCCATGTTTTTTAGGTGTGTTAACTCCCAAAGTAATTATCAAAGAAACAGAAATGAGGGGAGGGCTGGGAAGGTGGCTCAGTGGTAGAGTGCTTGCCTTGCATGCCTGAGGCCCTGGGTTCGATTCCTCAGCACCACATAAGCAAAAAGAAAAAAAAGCCGGAAGTGGCACTGTGGCTCAAGTGGTAGAGCGCTAGCCTTGAGCTGAAGAGCTGAGGGACAGCACCCAGGCCCAGAGTTCAGGCTCCACGACTGTACCCCCCCCCCCAAAAAAAAAGAAATGAGGGGATAGCCTCATGCATGCATGCACAAAGACACACAGACACACAGACAGACAAACAGACACACACACACACACACACACACACAAACACACACACACTGAGTCCCCCTTGTCAGCATGGGATATGTTCCAAGACCCCCCCCCTAGAAGATAACTGAATCATGAAACTGCATTTCCTACTTTTTTCAACAAACACATGATACATCTTAATTGTTAAATGACAGATAGTAAAAAAGCAATCATAACCACTAATAAAGTATAGTTATAATTTATTGTTAAGAGCGGTTATTTAGAACTTATGAACTGTGTATTTCTGGAATTTTGAACCCCAGTTGAGTGTGTGTGTAAGTGAACTGGGAAACATGGAACTGTGAGTTTCTAGAGGTAGTTCCTATGTGAAGCCTATATTTATACAGAAAGACAGATGGATGGATAGCTAGATAGGGTGGACAGACAGAGAGATGATAGAGATAGACAGATGCATGCAAAAGTATATTCCTAGAAACCATTATCATGCACCACAATTTTTATTTACTTTTGTCATCTTATAGGCTTTCTTACAGTTAATGGTCTGGAATTTACCAGAGGTTAGGCTTTATAATCTGGTCGGTTAGAACAGGGAATGCATTCTCCCAGATGGTAACCAGCCATGAAAACCCTAGGCCAACCCAGTCAACCCTTTATACCATAAGGAAAATAACAGTAGTCTTTACACTTCATGCAACCACTACACATACCATTTGGTTTTAGTCTCTCATCCTGCATGCTCCTGCCTCTAACCTGCCCTAGTCTCTTGGCATAGGCACAGGGGCCAACCAAGTCCCTCTGATTTGGCTCTGTTCTTCAGTGCCAGCCAGAACTTCCGTGTAGAAGGCAAGACACCTCCCAGTATACAGAGCAATCCTATCTGCATACACAATGGAAGGCCAGATTTTCTGAAAAAGGGGGGGGGGTGCGTGTAATAGCAAGGAATAAGCTTCTCACACAGCCATAAAACAAATCAGCTTATTGGTAAGCCTGAGGTTTGTAAGGGGAGAGGGGACTGCCAGTTCTTAAAACACCCAGACTCAGGCCTTAAGGGACTTCTAATAAGTTTTTCTCAGAGTTTATCTTTGGCAAGGCAGACCTCAACAACTTAGCTGTTTAACAGCTCCTGAGGGCAAAACTTAGAAGTAACACCATCAAGGAAAGTGGCAGTAAAAACCTAGTCAAGGAGGCCATTATTTTTGACAGGTCTAATTTACTGACACCGTTAATAGCTAATTAACACACTGAAGTGCTGAGGCATGAACATATTTACTTAGAACTTCTCTGAAGCCTAATTTATAGTTTATTCTCCTGGGAGAAACAGCAAACATTCCCACTCACAAAAAAAAAAAATAGATGGTGCATATCATAAATGCAACCTGGCTGGAAGGGTTCAAGTGGGACTTTGAAAGGAATCTGGGTAAAGAAATGACTCAGCTGTGAATTTTTCAAATAGCAGCTTTACATGAATGAATTACGTCCCTAGAGACCTTCAAGGTGTCCCTGACAGTGCTTTCCAAATGATGCTTCCCGATTTTCAACTGCAAATCAGCGACAATGAGATCACCCACCTGATGCAGGCAGGTCACTAGCAAGACCACAGTGAGCGGCTGCATTTCAAGGGGGTAGGGGAGAAAAATGAGCTTGCTTGCTTGCTTTCTCTCTCTCTTTATTTCTCTATTTCTTTCTTATTCTTGTATTTTGCCAGAAAGACCACAGCTAGTGGCTGCATTTCAAGGGTGTAGAGAAGAAAAATGAACTTGCTTGCTTTGCCTCTCTTCTTCTTTCTTCTTCTCCTTCTCCTCCTCCTCTCCTTCTCCTCCTCCTTCTCCTTCTCTCCCCCCCCCCCCCCCCACTTGAGCCACAGCTCCACTTCTGGCTTTTTCTGTGATTAACTGGAGATAAGAGTCTCACAGACTTTCCTGCCTGGCTGGTTTTGAACCCACAAGCCTTAGATCTGAACCTCCTGAGTAGCTAGGATTATAGGCATGAGCCACTGGCCGCCCGGCTGAGCCTTCTTTATATGAGTAGCTTGGCTTTTTTTTTTTTTCTGTTTTGTTTTTTGTCGGTTGTGGGGCCTGAACTCTGGGGCCTGAGCACTGTCTCTCAGCTCTTCAGCTCAAGGTTAGTACTCTACCACTTGATCCACAGCACCACTTCCGGTTTTTTTTTGCTTATGTGGTGCTGAGGATATCAAACCCAGGGCCTCATGCATGCAAGGCAAGCACTCTACCACTGAGCCATCTTCCCAGCCCAGCTTGGCGTATTTTTTGCAGATTTTTTGAAAGAAGATTGGATGGGGGAGGCAGCACCTTGAATTTCAGCTCTGGTGCTTCTATTGATCTACAATTTGCCCTTGATTACATCAAAAATCTCTCCCAGTCTGTTTTCACATCTGCAAAATAGGAACAGCAGGTCCAACTTCCCCGAATGAACCCCATGAGCCAAGTAGCTGCTCCTCAAAGCATCCTCTCCACAATACCGAAATTGATTGTAGGCAGAAATCTAAGCAGAACCCTCAATCCTGACAGTTGGCTTTGTTAGAGCTCATTCTCCTCACAAGGAAAACTGGATTGGTATTGATGCCTCCTGAGTGCACAGAATCAGAGCTTTGATCTCATGTAGAAAATTTAGATAAGAACTCCACCAGTGGCAGCCAACAAGAGTCACGAGCCTTCCCTCTTCCTTCTTGGAGTCTCTTTCCAGTCCAGAGCTCATACCTGGCCTAAGGGAAGGACTAGGCTGCTTGGGTCTGCAGCGGACACAGCCCATAATAAAGTGGCTTCCCCACCACTTCAAAGCCAATGTCAGGACCAACA